GCGCACTTTTCTCGTGCGCACGTAAGGAAAATGCGCACTCTTTTTCAAATTTTGTACAGGAAATTGCGCCTCTTTCTAACAACAGGAAAAATGCGCACGGTTATCAAATCCTGTTCTTTTTCGGATTATTTGAAGTTGATATAACTGATTTTTCAGAATTCATCTTTTTCAATCAATAATACCAGGCGGTCACTAGACTGGTCAGACTGATTTACCTTTCACGTGATAATGTGTAAATTTTGAATGTTATTTTTCCGAAGAAAAGCCACAGTCGAGTGCTTTATAGTTTGTTCAGAATTTGAATGTCAAGTCATCGGTCGAACTCCGCCTCTTATGTGTAGATCAAACCAATCAGAGAACGAGCCACTCACAGGCTTTGTTTGGGGCAGAGATTGCTGCTTTGAAACTCAAAAACATGGACAAACTATATTATAAAGGGAAATATGTGAAATACAAATCGAAAAGGACCTTTCGAGGTTCAAAATATTTCTGAAGAAAAATTTACAGGGTGATGAATTATTACTGCGACAAAATGAAGGAGCTGTCAATATGTCAATTGTCAATAGTCAATAAAAGACCGGAAACTCACAATTATTTTTATAAAGTTTTACAGGGATTTAATCAAAAATTAACATGAACTGCCGCTCGAAAATGTAGTGGCACTCCAATTGACTGCGGTACGCAGATGGTCGAAATCAGTTTTGTCACAGTTTTTTTGAGCAGAACGGCCAAAAAGTCAGTAGGCAAACTGGTGTGTACTGTTACAAGAGGCACATTGAAGTTTCTCAAAAATTTTGGAGTCAATGGGATAACAGAAAAAGCACAAAACTCCATTCTTCTAACTGGATAAGACCTTTTTCGATAAGGACTCGAAAAATTGGTTTTGAGCTGACTAGGAACTACGCGAACTCGCATTCAAGGATCGAGTTCAAACTTTGGTGGCTTATAGACCCGGGTAAAAAGTACTTGGAAACAAGAGAGATTATCTGCTAAATCCTATAGACTTCTGAGAAAACTATTTTTGAAAATGAACAGTTTAGGCTTGAAAAACTATCAAATTTTTTTGCTTTTCCTCCTTCTTTTTGGCTGGAAAAAAGTTTTTTAGTGTTTATCATAGCCGGATCATTCAAGGCGATTTTATTAAAATATTAAATAAGGTAAAAAGCAGTATTCTGAAAATTTTCAGGTCTAATTTTCACATTTTCTACTAATTTTTTCTCAGTTCTCTATTGGGTTTAGCAGATATTCTCACTTGTTTTCAAGTGTTTTCACTTAGGTCTATAAACCACTAAAGTTTGAACTCGATCCGCGTACCCGAGTCCGAGTAGTTCCCTAGTAAGTAAGGGTACTTAAAAACAGGCAATACTATCTGCTAAACCCCATAAGGTACTGAGAAAAAAGGTACACACCTTTCAAATTATCTTGTTTACTGCTCTCTGAGTTGACCTCATCTCTTACAGAGACTAGCTATATCTGAGCTATCTCGGAGGTACTTTTAGAGTCTCCCTCAAGTCTATCTCATTTTTGCTCAAAGTCCTCAGAGGTATACTTGGGTTACCATCGATAGGCTTCAGACCCTGCGATATGCCCTCAGAGGGTCTCGCGATACCCTTTTTTTCTATTTTTTTCGGAAAAACAATTCCTTCAATTTTTTTGCGACTTCTTTTTAATTGCTTACATAGACGTGAATCGTTATCAATTTCGAGAATCGAAACCTTAAAAAAGTACGTTCAAATTGAGCTTCAGGGCGACCTTATCGAATAATTTCTGAACGTCGCAATAAACTCCCTCTCATACGGCCTTGATGCGTAATGAAGTAACTTTTGAGTCAAGATTTTTTCCAGTGTTGTACTTGGCTGTAAAAAAATCACTGAAAAAAATTTTTTTGGTGGTTCGGCCCGGCCCAAAAAGCTCAAATTTTTCTTCATTTCGAATTTTTTTAGCTGTTTTAACGAGAAAAAGCGGGGTTTTTTTGCTTATTTTTTTCTTCATTGAGTTATTAAAAAAATGTGATTCAACATGTAAAAAAATATTTTTTTTCGGTGAAAATGTTTTTTTAATGAAATAAAAAAAGTTTCTTGAATCTCTGGCCTGAGCCCGCGCTTTTTCGAAATTAAAAAAATCAAGTCCTAGGGGGCTTTAGGCCTTCATAGCCAAGCCTGCCTGCCTTGCCATAAACGCCCAAAAAGGCAGAAACGACTTTTTCCGAAAGTCAGCGTGGCATCATCATATTATAGAAGAAGGCTTGATGAAGGTAGGAATAATGACTGGAACAAAAAAATGAGCTCGGGTCGGCGAGAGCAAATGCTAAAAAAACTTTTTGTCGCAGTAATTATTCCTCCACTCTGTATTGTTTAATGTTATCAGATGGAAAAAGATCTGTATATTTTGAGAGCATCTCACTTTTTTTAGCAGATTTTGCAGAAGCTTTTTGAGACCAAGCTTGGAATCAGCTTGGTCTCAAAAGAGAGCATCTCACTTTTTTTGCATAACTACACCTGGTCTCATTCCGAAGTGACCGCAGACCATTCCTGATAAGAAATATTCTCCATAAATTATCAAATAATCAAAAGATGTTCAATTCATCTTTAGCTGAAAGATTTCTTCATGACAAAGAGAAAAGTGAGATGGTTTATGTGGACTTCAATCTAGAAAAAAGCGCAATTTGATAACCGTGCGCATTTTCCTGATGTTAGAAAGAGAGCGCAATTTCCTGTACAAAATTTGAAAAAAGAGTGCGCATTTTCCTTACGTGCGCACGAGAAAAGAGTGCGCACAGCGCGCACTTTCCAGCATGCCAGTTTTTTTTTTCGAGTGTGCTTTATCTATTCTACCTCCTCTTTCTTACCTTTTTAATAATATAATTCAGAGTGATTCCACGAAGTTTGAATAAATCTTCAGAAGCTGAAAAAAAGATTTTTGGGGAGTAAGAGATGATTCTGTTTTCCGCGAAATACTTTGGATATGGAATAAATTTTTATTTTCAATTTTCAAATTTTGATGGATTTGGGTTATGAAAACGTCAATGTTCCTAAGTATCTATTTGGAACCTTTACTTCTTTAACTAAATTTAGTTCAAGTCGGTCTTTGATAACGTAGAAAACATAAGTGAGAAAAGCGGAGTATTCTAACAAACTAGTTTCATTGAAATTTTATTGTGAGATGGTATCATGAGTTTCAAGTTTCTTTTTTTGCTAGTTTCAGTATTTTTCGACGCGGATGCTCCTTTTCTGAGACTGTGTGCTTTTTCGCAGACTTTTCAATATTGTTATTCTATTCAAGCTGATTCGATTTCAGACTTTCTTGCAATTGGCGAAAATGGGTGGCGTGAGAGGTATGTTGCCATTTCTATTTGATGCGGAAAAATGGTTTATCAGATGTACGTCTGAATAATTCGCAAGGTCATTTACAAAAAAGAATGGGATGCCGCTGTGGGCCTCTCTACATTGATTTCACGTTTGGCAATTTATGCGATGTGCTTGTAGCCGTGGCACTACTGGCGTTCGCCGGCGTCGTCGGTCTGACGCTTCTAGTCCTCGGTTGTGCGCTTCCCATGTATCAGTGAGTTAATTCAATAATATTTACCTCGAGTCACTAATTCCTTTCTCAGAAATTGGTCGCCTATGTTTGTTCTCGCGTTTTACGTTCTATCACCGGTACCACTATTGATAGCGAGAAGATTTCAGGAAGACATGACAGGTTTTTCTTGAGAAACCGACATTTTGCAAAGACAGTTTATTTCAAAACTGATCCTTTACAAAAGCTTTGGAAGGAAATATCTTCACTTTCCAGGTACCAATGCATGTGTCGAACTGGCTCTTTTCGTCACAACGGGAATCGTCGTCTCGGCGTTCGCCCTCCCGAGTGTCTTGGCTCACGCTGGAACGGTAAATTGGGTGTTTCGAGTTAGGAAAAGGAGTAGCCTCCGATTAATTAACTAGCATTGCAGGAATTTACCTCAGCAGTTTATAGCCTTGATGTTTTAGTTAAACTATAATTTTTTAATGAAATTCACTCGTTTAAATCAATTTTTCTGGTTGTTGTCTAATGTTATGTGAATGACGGCGGTAATGCTGGACAGTTCATGAAAAATTGAGCTGTGATCAATAGTAGAGTAAAAGTCCGAAAAATCTTTGGAATACTTCGGAAAATAGAAGCTCTGCTTTAAAAAAATGATGAATTATAAGAATATTCTGATGAAATGTACAGGTCCTTACAAATTTCTTTTTTTTTGCTCTTCTCTGTTCAAAAATTTTCATTCTGAGGTTTTCTCAAAAAAAAAAAACAAGTTTGAAAAAAGTCTTTTGAAATCTTCTCAGCCACTTAGGTTTTTAAAGCTTTCTCGAGACATCTCTGTACCCTTCTGGTAAACTATCTGTGAGTAGAGTATAATTTTTGATTTGTTTGCAAAAGGAATCGTGTTGTGGATGGGAAGTGGCACGTTCCAGATAAAGTTCTCGGCGGCGCTGCTGGTCAACACCGGCTCCTTGGTGATGTTCGGAACTATCATCGCCTATTTCTACCTTCATCGTGACGAAGACGGCGGCAGTTGGAACCAGTCCCTCTTCTGATCGTCTTTTTGTTGTGTGTGTTTTTTGCATTTTATTTTTTTTTACGTAAATGACATACCAGTACGGAGGTCTGCTAGTGGCGGTTTTACGAGAAAAGTGTGCGAGGTGAACATCGAAGATAGGATTAAAACTTCTGTGGTAGGTAGACCCAGGTGTGAGCATTCGAAAAGAGAAAAGGCAAAAAGTGGAAAAAGTTTCTTTCTCGTGTTTCTTATGATATATTGAATAACAGTAGACGTTTTGGAAATCGAGAAACCGAAGAAACTCAGATTTTGAGCCTTTTCCGTACATTTTCGAGAGGCTATTTCTCAGTTCTCTTTGGCGCTTAGTAGATATTTCTTTTTATTTTCGATTACTCACACCTAGGCCTATTCACCCCAAAAGTTTGGACCAGTTCTGCAATGTTCACCTCACACACTTTCCCTGTTAGTGCGTTTCGAAGTGAATACTTTTATAATTTCTAAAAAAAATAGGCGCACTTTTCAGAGATGCATCTGTAGAAATTCGAATGACAAAACCATAATGAATTTTTTGAAAAAAACATAAATTTTCCGTTCATCCCGACTTTGCAGTAAATTTTAGAGCTTTAATCAAATTTAAAACTAGTTTTACGACGATGAAAAAAAAAGTGAGTTTCAACGAAAATGTGAAGCTATATTCTGTTGTGTTCAAGAGTCCTTGTGAGTGTGCTTGAAGGATCAATGATGCATGATCAAAAAAGTAAGGATCTTCGGAAGACTACAGACAGATCAGCAAATTTTAAACTTGTTTTAGTGTCATCAAAATATCCGTGGAGCTCGAACCCTGTTTTCGTGACCTTATTCTTCTGTATATTCTTAATTGAGCTTATTTTAGAGCTTTTCTGTCATGTACTCTCCCTCTATATATTCAAAGGTGGCTCGTGAAATTTTCCTGAATAATTTTCATTTTTTTTTGATGACGTTTCTTGTACGTCAGGAAATTGTAATATGAAAAAAATTATAATTCACACAACGTGTTTATTCTTCTCATTTTGAATGGTAGCTCGAAAAAGGAAAATGTTATTCAGATTGCAAAGTCGTCGGCGTTGCTCGTGTGCCTGGCGAACCTGGTGAATTTTGGTGCCATCGTCCTCTACTTTCGCGTGTTTAATGGTGACGACATGAACGAAATGTCGCTCTGGTGACAGTCTAACATTTCTTATCAACCTCTTTTTTTTTTTTTTCTTTTTCTGGCGGAAAATGATTTGTAAAACGAATATCAAACTTGCTTTTTCGTGTATAACAAGAAATTGTTGGAAAAAAATAATTTTTAGTCATCTTTTTCCGCCCTTGCAAAGTCCTCTTATTCAATAGTGAAATGCGGCCCGACCTTGAAAAATTGTACACGCAAATGTACAGCTTCCACTAATTCCTACCATCCACGGTTACAGTTCGTATTCTTCTTAATTTATTCTTGGTGCGTGTTGCATTAATGTTTCATATTTCATTATTTGAATAAACTCAAAATTCATAACCGTATGTAAGTAAACAGCAATCGAGATCCTAAAAGTCACGAGAATTGAATTCCAGTTCTTGACATATCCAAATTAAAAATACTTGGAGAGAATATAAGAGTTAGGCAAGATTTCAGAGGCACTTTCCGGTATGGACTTGTAATAATTGGAAAAAAAAATGTAGGAAAAACGAAAAGGTTTGACTATCTCAAAGAAATATGTTAAAATTTAGCCGAATGGACCCGAGTTTGAATAGGGTAAGAGATAAACATTCAGCAGCGTATTTCATTAGCGAGGCTGCAGAAAGTCTTGCCATTTTCGAGAAGTGTGGCTCTTGTCGCGAAAGAGTTCACCTCGGCCGACATCGAAAGACTTCCTGGAGAATTTTTATTCAATTCAGTTAGAGATTTTTCCAAAATTACCGTTTCGCAGCGCGTGAATCGGCGAAACTTGGGTCCGCAAGTTTTCGTCGTGAGTGGCCAGAAAACGCGTTTGCTCGAGACCTTCCAGCGATGTCCTTTCCACGACGTTCGCAGGAAGCGACAACTGCAAAACTTATTTCTGCTTTTCAACGACTTTCGACTCAGTAAAGATCATTTTTCCACGTTGCGTTTTTCTTCTTGTTCAAGACCTGCCAAACTCACTTTGTGCCTAACTGAGCGAGTGCTGACGCTTATAGAGCGACGAATATTTTTGCTACGTTTGGTCCAGTGGCGCCAGATGCTAAACTTGTCCTGCACGGGGAGTTTGAGTGTGATGCCGCGCATTCCGCAGCCGTAAACCACCACCAGCTCTTTTCTGTGAAAATGCAGCCTCATTTATTGTTATTATTAATTTTGAAGTCTCAGAAACGTTTTGAGCACGTAGTAGTTTGAAGTATCGTTTTGAACTTTCCAATTCAGCCTAGGTTCGATTTAACCCCGATTTATGCTGAAAATTCGCCCTAGGGTTTCGCGCCAGTTTGCTATTATGACACAAGGCTCATCGATACAAGTCCATTAATTCATTGTGAAAAACAATACTTCCAGATGCAATCAGAGTAGTTAGAAGATACCTAAGCCGTTTAAAACCTCAACTTGAAGTGGCTGCTCTCAGTCCGAGGCATCCACCTAGAGCACGGTCTCCGGGCTCCAGCTTCAAGATTCGCTGTATTCTGAGCTCGCCAAAGCGTAACTGAATGATTTACGCGCAGAAGAAAAAGTAGAAGGACCGTAAGACCATGCTTTTTACTCTTTCGACTACACGTTTCGACTTCAAGTTCGCGAAATGCGGTTGTTCGTTATAGCTTCAAAAGTTCTTGTTCACCGTCGATTAAGTCTATAGATTTTGTGAAAATTTTGATTTCTCCAGGTGCCTTACTGGAATCATTACCAATAAAATTGATAAACTCACCGAAAATCGCGACCAAAAAGAAGATAAATGACGAAATTGATGGATGAATTGATGATGGCCAGAAAGTTTATAGCCTCTCGCGAAAAAGTGTAAAATATTTTATGTTCCACCATCTAAATAAATTCTTAATGTGCATAAAAAACTACATTGACTTCAAAAAACTGACCAAGGTTTCCTGCCCGACGATCCGCTCGAGCAGGGTTAGGACGAATCCCCAAAAGTTGCAGCCGAGAAAAATGCAGACGATAATGACGAGAACCAATGTCGCCTCTCTGCTTTTTTCCTTGAGCTCGTTGCGGTTGGAAATTCTGGAAAACTCCAGCTTTTTTCAATTCCTTTTACGAGTTTTAGCGTTTTACTGAATATACATAGGTGGTTGAGACTCGACTTTTCAGCCAACAAAAGACAGCCTTCGAAAAATTTTCTGCTTCTTCCTCAGTTTTTCGGTTCTTTCTGTCTTTTCCCAGCTGAGAAACATTTCAATCGCAAAACTAGCAAAATAACAAATTCACGAGATTATTGGTTTTCCTTCTAAAAAAGTTTTCATGGACAAAAAGCACACAAGCACACATTCTATTTAAACGTAGAATGACGTATGCAAAATACGTGAGTGAAGTTCATTTTTGATTATAAAAAATTTAAAATCTCAAGAATGATTTGTTCAAAGAAACATTCAGAATAGAGCCAAGTTCGTCAATGGCTCATCCTTTTTGTTCCAATTTTTTTTCTTCAAAATAAGTTTCCCTAAAAACAACTTTCCAAAAGAAAAAACAAAGGTCATTCAATTTTATCCGTTATAAACGTTCAAGATAGACTTTTCCAGCTTCCCGAATTCCCCTATTTCCTTGAGTGAATATAAAAAAATCGGAAAGAAATTTAGAGGATGCACTCCAGAAAGTTCTTGAAAATATCTTGTCGTTGTTTGGCAGGAGGCTAAAATTAATTTGAGTGGAATTCTATCGACTATTCGGTTTGGAGAAAGAACTTCCGTGTGCGGTCGAAAAACTTAAGGACAAAAAAACTTGGGGAGACGTCCATAGGAACCAGACGGAAGCGACTCAGACAACGAAGGCTCATGCCATTAGATGCCATTCACGAGGTGATCAGCCTTAGGAAAACTGTGAACTTGCAGCCGAGACGTCCATGGAAAGAAAAAGAGTTGCTGAGGTGAGAGCAGCCGGAACGACAAGAGGCACGAGACACAAAAATTTGTGGTTATGGTGTGTTAGAAGTGAAACAGTGGTGTGAGTCCGTTAGACAGTATAAAATACTCTGAAAAAAAACCCGAACCTCGCGATTTCTCGCGTCAAATGCGCACTGGTCGATAGTGCGGCAGCAATACTTCTGAAAATCACGAAACTGCGGGGAGTTTATCTTTGGGATGAAGAAGAACTCAAAGAGAAGCAGGGGAGTCAAGAGAAGTTGATTTGCAATGATCGCATACTGGTTTCAAGGCGTGCCAAGCAGCCGGGTGCAAACTTATTACGATTAAAATTTACTATTTTTTCAACATAAGAAGCTTCTCTTTGCATAGAAGTGAACAGTCTGATTCATGATAAAAGAAAATTTTATGAGAAAGTATTTGCAAAAAAAAAAGAATGCAATTTCCGCTGATTTTGGCAGACTACAGCTCATTTATCACTTTTTCTTCCAAACGATCACAAAACTTCAGATTATGAGACAAATGAAACCTACTTTTGGTTGTGGAAATCATATTTCTCGAGGCTGCGACGAATCGTGTAGGCGATGATGGAATTGAAGAGAAAAAGGGTGAGGAACGGGAAGAAGACCATGACGACGTTGGTGACCCACAGAGAGTAGACCTGCTGGTAGATCGGATTGCTCGCCATGGTCGACGGCAGCAGGATGTACGACTGCCAGTCTTTGCCGTCAGGACAGTCCGGGTTTATCGTCACCTTCAAGAACCAATCATCGAAATAATTTAAAAAATATAGAAATAATTGACTGGCTGGCAGGGAAGGTAACTTTACTTTGAACTTGGGAATTGAAATTTTTCCCTAAAAATTGGCCAGAACATTCCTCGAAATATCAGAAGAACATTTTGGAAGTCTTAGTCTGTAAAACTTGCTAGTTTTAGAAAATTAAGGGATCGAATCTCTAAAATGGCCTATTTTTACGGAATTCGAGTTTTCTTCAACTATGACGTGTACTTTTTTAGCAAGTAGAAAATTTTACAAGTTGGATCTTTCGATAACATTATACAGTACATCACGGAGTGTTCTGAGCAACTTTTAAGAGAATCCTAACCGCAAAGTAAATGACCTTGCTTGTTAGAAACTTCTGGAAAAACTGGATATGGGGCTGTTTTTGAGAAGCGTTTTTCAATTCAGAACTTATCCAAACAACTCACTTGCAGTTCGAAAAATTTTGTACAGTTGAACAAAACGGAAAAAGTGGTCACGCCAAGGATAGTCCACGCGGCTCCTCCTATAAAATTGTTCAACAAGCTTTATTTTTTCAAGAAATGAAAATAAGTAAATTGCGAAGATAATTATTTTGACGGGAAACGCACCAGATCCGCACATAATCTTGCTGGTCCTTGCGTGGCAAACGGCGAAATAGCGCTCGATTGTGACGGCGACAGTAATGTAGACGCTGCCCGTCTGCGAGATGTGCGACAAGGCGAACGCAAATCTACAACATTTTTTCCTATTTTTGGTCTATCCAAAACTCTCCCGTCGGTCCTATAGTTGTAAATTTGTAGTTCTAAACCAATTTCGAAAGATTTCAAAAAAGAGCACACTCTTTTAAGAAACATTCTTCAAAAGGAGAGCCGGTCAAAAACCTGCGAAACCAATTTGAAAACGGCGTAGGAAATTAGATTTTTTGCCGTATGTACTTTTTTTCCACGGTAGATAAAGTTGTTACGGAGAAAAGTGGTCGTGACGTTTATTTGGAACCGATGGACTATTGAAAATAAGAAACATCAAAGATCATTTTGTTCGGTACAGAACCCAACCGAGAAAAAAAAAACGTTCTTGATTACTATTCATTTACAGTCTCAGCGTCTCGATATTTTATAGCCTCAACTTTATTTTCTTTGTTCTTTTCACTGTACTTGAATAGTAAATTTCCGTTGGATGATTTCAATTCTTATTATAACTTAATTTTAATTAAATTAGAAGAAATAAAGATTCCTATTCTTTCTCTATAATTTTCCCAAGGTCATATTCAAATTTCCAATCACCTCTTGTCGTGTAAATTTGCGTTTGATTCAAGTCAAAAATCCTATTCAAATTCCTTCAAATTTATTACTTCGTTCTCTGGGTTGAAATTACACTTAACAGAGTTCTATATAACTCGCGAAACACTGTGCAAAAAGACTAGGTTTATACGTCTCCAAAATATTCTTTGTCCCAAGATAACTGTGAATTAAGTATGAACTCCACAGTGAGGTTGATTCAAAACTGCCTAGCCTTCAATTTGTTTTACCCTGAGGATAAATATATGTTACAATTGATTACAGTATAAAATAATATTTGTTTTGACTATTTGCTGAAAAAAGGAACCTGAGATATGTGAGCCAGGCTACGTAGAGTTCGAAATCTTTGGTGTACTCGATAATGTACTCCATGGCGTAAATGAAGAAGGCGGTGATGAGCAGACAAGAATCGAAAACGGCCAGGGCGGTCAGGAACAAGTTGTTCGGGTTTCTCATCGACGGTCTGCAACTCCTTCGTGTTGCCAAAAGCACCAACCTCATATTTTGGATAAAAAAAACTTGTACAGAAAAAAGAATCGCCTGAATGAAAAAAAAATAATCTGTTGCTATTTTTCGGTGCTTTTTGAAGAGCTTAGTTTTCAAACAATTTAAATGACCTTTCGTCTTTTTCCATATTCTCAAAAGTAACTTCAACTTGTGCCGATATGCATTTATAAACAAAAAACTCTTACAAGCTCCACTGGTAAAAATTTTCGATATCATTGTGTTCACTAAATGCACTTTTATCCACATTTTACAAACGACCTTCGAGTTAAAGAAGCATTTCAAGTATCTTTCGGCTTTCGATCTGAGGTTCGTTTTTCAATTAGAACAGAGTCAACTTCTTCCCTTAACTCAACTTTTTCCGGTGAACTGAGCAGAGTTCTGAACGCGTCAGAGAGTTCGCAAACTCCTTTCATGTCGAAAAAACTCGGCTTAAAAAGAACGCGGCTCAAAGAGCGTGCTTCAAACTTTGCGAGTGGCTGCCTCTCAAGCTTAAAAACCTCAAGAAGGATTATATTTGGTCTTGAAAACTTTTTTTTCCGTGGTCCACAAAATAACTGAAGCAAGAAAAAATTTTGCAGTTCAAAGAAGAAAAAGAAGATTGCCAGCCACTTCTCTTGAGCTCCAACAGACCCGTGGGAACACATAACACGATGAAAAATCACTTATTTTCGTCAAACCCAAGCTGTGAAGTCAGAATAATCAGAAATAAGAGAGAAATCACCTCGTGAGAATGAGGGCAGTGGTGGCATTTCCGAACAAGCCGAACAGTCCGATCAGCGTGCCGACGACGCTGATCAGAAAGAATTTGACCTAAAAATAGTTGCCTATTAGTACATTTTGATGAAACTTTTGAAAGTTGTGGTTCAACATTTGTCTTTTATTTCTCAAAGATCAGATAATCGTGAGAAATGTTTAAGCAAAAAAGCTCAAAGAAAGATGAGTAAGAGGGCATATTGAGTTTGAACAACATCCTGCCCTCAAGACGAGACGTCTGCAATATATAGTCGGAAATGAGAAAATTTTCGGATTGGCTTTGAAAGTTGCTGACTCGCTCTTTCAAATCAAATGCCGGAAGGTGAGACTTCCGACGGGCTAAAAAAATAAGTGTAAGAGTCATCAATTCGAAAAAAAATATTTCTTGTTGCTGGAGGCGTTTATTAATTAGGTTAGGCGGAAACGTTTTTATTTCTATATTAACGCCGTCATTGACAAATTGGAGCGTGTAGTTGACATGTTGAAAGTTCGTTTTTTTTTCCTTCCTTTTCCAGATTTTCGACATTTATATTTGTATGAAAAACAATGGTGGATTGAGAAATGAGAAGTGAATCTATTCGAAACAGCCTGAAGTGTACTTGAAAAAAACCTTCAGCATCGTTCTCCACATAACCCCAGATTTCTCAACTTATCGTATTTGCGAAAGCCAGGAGTTAAGTCAAAGTAGTAGCGAATGTGCAAGGTGAAGATCGAGCCCACCTCGAGAAAGTCGTGAGGCTGAAGACCGCAGTCGACCGGTTCTTCCGTCACGTTGCTCTCCATCTCGTCGTTCAGGATCCGTGGAGCGCGGCGTTGGCCGCCGCCATCCCGCTGCAAAAAATTTTCTGCAATTTCTCGAAAGCCTCGAAGAGCCGCGAAACTTGGGAAAACGAAGAAAAGTCGATGAATTACGACGTGAGAAAAGCGTTCGTAGTTTGATAGATTTATGAATCAATAAGATAACCCGAAACTTGTACTTTTTGTTTTCCAAAGGACACATTATATTCGATCTTTGTAGTTTATTCACTTCTCCTGACATATATTATGCGCTAAACAGATTACGCAAAATATTATATTTATTTACTCTTAATATTCGGAGCAAAGAGAGGGAAGGCTAACGATGGGAAGCCCTCTCAAATTGTACATTATTTAGACCCAAAACGACTCTCTTTTTCGAACATTTCAAACTTATATATTTGATATATTTCTTCTTCCGACTTTTCAAATATTACGAACAAGATTGAATTTTGTTTCTGGATTGATAAGAAAGTTTATAAATCAAAATCTTCCCTATTATTAATGCAGAAAATTATGCAATTGAAAAATGACAGAATTTGTTCGAAAAAATATGGATAAAACGAAAAACAATAGCAGACACAAGAACAGAAAGAAGAACCTAGCTCGGCTATACACGAGTTCCTCATAGTTTTTTCATCCCTACAAGACTTCATGATCCCTAAAAAGGTTTGAAACCCAACCGATTTGACTTCTCACTGTTTTTTTTTCTAATCTCTTCGAAATACAGAAAAGAGCAGAAAAATATATTCACCAGAAGACTCATTATCCAGAAAAAAATCGTCAATTTGATGGAAAATCCAATTTCTCCATATTTATGGGTAGAGCCTTTTTGTTCATTCCTATAAATGGGCAACAGCTTTTCGAAAACAAAAATGGAAGCTTCAGAGCAGAGTTTGCAAAGATAATTAGAAATGGGAAGACGTAATGATGAAGGAGTATTCCACTTGAATAAGTCAATTTAAAATTTATTGGTGCGCTTTTTACTTTAAGGCGGATGATAAAAAATAGAATGACCACATAAAAAGCTACGATTCGATTGCTGAAAACCTTCTGATATTTGAGAGCAAATAAAATGAACAAAAAATCAACTCTTTTTAATTGAAAAGAGCTGAATACACTGAGATCGCTGTAAACAAACTTTTCGAGTAATATTTCAAACATATGGATCTTCACAGCTTTGAGTTTTAAGAAGTGACATCTGGAACCTTGCTCGTTAAAAAAACTAAACATGATTGATAGACTTTTGGATAGGTCTCGAAAAACCAAATTTTCTAAGCAGTTAGTAGGGAAAACTTTAATGACTACTTCTCAAACCAAGAGGCGCGTTTTTTAAAGACTTAGTTAAAAAGGCAAAAACTAAATATCAGGCCATACATTTCTTTAATAGTGCAATGCACTTCCTTTCAGCCAATGAACCGGGGAACGTAAAACAGTAAAAGACGAGAAGCGAGGAAATGAAGCTGTGCAGACAACGGAGTGGGCGGGACAAAGCCAGTGACGTCGGCCTTCGGAAAGGCCGTCTGCTTCACAATGGTCCGGGCCGTTGGGGAATTAATTAAAACCTTGAAAAACTAAAAGGCAGTGGATTTTGATTTTGAACCGGATCAGAAAGTGTGCATTGATCATACTGCCGCAGCAGAAGTTAGTTTCAAGCCGAAAATTGGTTCGAAAAAATCGATGGGCTAATGAAGTAGGTTTGTATCTTTAATAAGGATTCAATTAGTTGCTGGAGAGCACAAATTACAAAGTTGGGCGTCCAAATTGCCATTGGAACAGACCATAGAGCAATGCCTATTAAAAAAATAATTATATAGAAATAGCGAAGATAAATAAGAAAAAAATATCTGGTTGAATTTATCCCCAAAAAAATATTTTCCAAGCTATGTAAAAACAAATTTTTTTGAAAGTAAACTTTTTTTAAACACCAAAAAGAAACTTTCATGATTTAAAAAACATCAAGAATGACTCTTTCACAGAAGCAAAAGCAATATGGAAAAGAACAAAGATGTTGCTCATTTTCAATAATTTTGGTTACTAGATTTGAAAAAAAAAATACTTCTGTTCTATTGAGCAAAAAAAAAATAATGGGATTAGTAAGCGACGGAAAAGATTTGAAGGAGAAAATAGACCTAATTTATACGCCGACACCGTTTTGGAGAGACAAATCAGATTTAACTATCTCATTTCGAAGTGGTTAGGTAGAGGGCACGTTTTTTCCTTGTGAGGCAAATGACGAGGAGACTTCAGGAAACGACATCCACGCCTCTTCGGAGTTGAGCTCCACGAGAAGAGTCTTCAAACTTCCTTCTTTTCCATTTGGCTTGCTGGTTCTGTGTGAAGAGTTCAATGCGACATGGAAAGTCGGAGTAAATGAAGGAGCCAGGCAAAGCCTCGAGGCCAATTGGACATCGGAAACAACAAATTTTTCAGTCGCACCGCACACTCGAACTTGCACTCCAATAGTTGTTTTCCGAGTGGCGAACTTGAAAATAGCTTAGTTCAGACAACTCCTATCAGTGCACAAGTGTCAATGCCGATATAATAACAAAAGAAAGGGAAGGTTCGAAGTAAGGGGTAATCAGCTGCTTTCCAAAGCGAAGATCGACAAATGCCGCGTCTTTTCTCGAAAAGTGTGAGCCTTGAAGACCTTGTTTTGCAGCCGTTGTTTTCTAAACGAGGAAATAAAAGTTTGAAAATGATCGCTGTCGAATAAGTACAAGCAGCAAGGAAAATTGCTGAGCATCGCAGAAAAAAGCTGGCGAATACAGCCACGAAGATTTCAGACTCAAAAAATAACGTCGCAAAATTAGGTTTGCCTCAGCGCAACTTCAAAATTCGCCTTCTGAGAGACGTCGCTTCTTCTCATCTTTTTTTCGATCCTCTAAGCGCCACGACCTACCTTACACTCTAAACCGAACATGCCGTTTCCGCAAACGCCTTTACCAATGAAGCTTCAATAAATCAGCCCGTATTCTCTTATTTTGTGGTTCGCCGGACATTGAAGAAGTATGATTAAAAAAGAAGACCAGAAGAACAAACGCATAAATTACATAGAACTGAGAAAAAAAAACCGTTCAGTTCCAGAGCTGTGAAAATAACCAATCAGAACTCGAGTTTCCATAGAATCGAATATACGATGCTAGAAATATTTCTCAACAGCTTGCAAAAAAGAAGAAAAGAAATAGGGCCTTGTTAACCAACTAACTACTTCAATAACCTATAAAGCATAAGATTTATTTTGAGTCACCACTTAGTGAGATTCTGCTTATTTTTATTTTTTCTCGGCATTCTTCCTAAAACGAATGGTAAAAACGCAATCTAGCCAAATTTGGTTTGTGCTTGTTTTTTAGCAAATGTCTCTTTTTTGCCTATCTCTCCTTTGTCGGGAAAAAAAAGGAAGGAGGTCGGAAAAAGCGTGCCGAACACCCGAAAATACGTCGAGCTCCAAACAATTAATATAATTAGTGACACTCATTCACGGATGTTGATTCTCTTTGACTTTTGGAGAATAGTAGAGATTGAAGCTTCTGCAAGTTCTCAATCGCCGCGAACGAACGGAAATTGGCTGGAACGAACTGACGCGCTTGTTTTGAACGGTTGTTGGTGAGCAATGGAGTGGGCAGTAGGGAAAAGTGCAGAAGATGCTCAGCGAATCCGTCCTGGCCCACGGAACCCATTTCGACAATGGGATGCCGTGACTGAGCTCTTAAATTGCTTTTTATGCTCCACCGGGGGATTTATTAAAGAGCTCATTTGGCTGAAATTTCTCTTCTCGGCTCACCCATAAAACCAGGAAGGATTTTCTTGCCAGTGAATTTTTATTGCGCCAGAGTTTTCTGCAATTAAGAGCTACTTTTTGAGAGATTAATGCCTGTTGTTATCTGAGTGAGGATAGTCAACTCAGCGTACCAGGGATGGAATTTCCCCTATCATCTTCATATATATTATAGCTGCCTCTTAAAACAACAACGTACTTTGGTACTTGCATCGGTCACATCCCGACTTGCTACTCGGTGAACTGAGTAGAATTTTTAATTCGATCAAGATATGGCGGAAGTTATACTAAAATGAAGAGAAATTGATGAGCTTTGTAAAAATTCTCCCTTCCTGGTTCCCAAGTTACTACTAACCAAGGCTTTCCGCAGAATATGATTTTAGGAAATTTCCATTCTCCAAAATTAAAAAGAAATCAAAAAAAATCTACCAAAAAAAGTCGAATAATAAAATAAACTTCAATACAACCGATAACAGCTGTAGATCGATTCAACTAGCCTCGGTAAGTAACGGACCCAGGCACGCATATAATCTCACTAGAAGGGCGGAAGGAGCGTCATCGAGGGAAAGGCGATAGAAAAGAAAGGAGCCGTCGGATGAATAAATGAAAGTGGAATAGAAGCACAAACAATGGGGCCAAAACACGGCTTCTGGTTGCGGAATAAGAGCTGTCTACTCGGTTATTCTGGAGAAGTTCGCACAATGTCCTCCAAAAGCTATTCAACAGGATGACTGCAAAATCAATGAATCGACATAATAATTGCCATCCAAAGCATTGGACTGAGATGCCACCAATAGTCATAAAAATATCGATGTCAGATGAAGATAAATCTCAGAAAACAAAAACTGAAAAATTATAGATCCTGCAAGAGGTGCCTTCTTTTGGAAAAAAAAAATGACAGTAGGTTTTTAATGCATCGTTTTTTCCCCCAAAATTCTTGAAGTGGCTCCAGATTTTCAACGTTTTATTACGTCGTCCAGAACGAAATATTCCACTGCCAAGAAAAATGAGTTAATGCCAGGCTACGGCTCGTTTCTTCTTCATGTTTTTCGTTTCTTTTTGTAGACGTAAAATTAATGTTCTGAAAAAAAAAATTGAATTTGCGTCGCTTCATACATTTTGGCTGTTGAGTGGAAGAAGAAATGATAGGTAAGGAAGAGCTTTGATTTTCGAAAATTTTCGTAAATTGAGGGAAAAACCCTTCAATAAACATGTGAAGTATAAATTCTTTATTCATATATCTAATCTATTTATTAAAGCAACTAGTTTTTTCTTTCTGAAAATTATAAATTATCCAAGCAATATTTCTTTCGTTCTTTTATGCGCTCAAGGTGGCAAAAATATTTCGAGAAGCAATGCCAAAGATTCGATTTTACACAAAAAAATCCTTGACGAAGGTCTGTTGGGAACTTGAACATGGGAAAAAATTTTCTTTTTTGAAGAAGATGATACCTCTTAAAATATTTACCTTAAAATGTGTTAACGTTTTATGAATAGCATGCATCGATTGAAAATCAGAAACGATGTTTTTTGAATTAAAAATGATACTTCTGACTGAAGCCAGAAAGAAAATGAGCAGAGAAGAAAAACAAAAAAGGCCAAAAAAAGAAGTCCCCTAAATGATGAGATCTTTTACCATCTTTTTTGACGACGAGGGGCTTTCTAAGAAATCCATTTTGACGTTCCGAGGTCTACTGCAAAACAAGTGATAGCCAAGTGTTCGTCTATTGTCAAAAGGAGTTATTCTGATTTGAACCTTTTAATAACTTCTGGATCACAATCATTAAGCACATTTATTTTTTATAAGTATAGCAAGCGGAATGAAACCTCTTGTCGGTTTTCGCGAGTTCTTTACAAAGAATTGAAGAGTTTTTCATAAATTATACAATAACTTATCATGGTGGAAAAAGAAGGAAGAAGATTTTAGTGCCTTTGGAAAAGCCGATTTTCGTCGCAGAAAGTAATGCTAAGAATGGTAAGAACAAAAATGAACAAAAAAAAAACGAATTTTTGAACAGAAAGGAGACTCAAAATAGTTTCCTTTATTAATCACCCGTTAGTAAAAATTCTAACGATGTACGAGGTTACATTAATTCAAGTTTTAACTGTGTGAAAACTTCAGAACTCATGAAAAGCATCAAAAGAAGACCTGTCGAAGAAAATGAGCTGTCAAAGAGAGAGATAGAGAGATCTTTGTGTGAGAAAGAGAATCTTATAACTACTTTTTTTAATGTTCAAAAGCCAACTTCTCCCCGTGTTCAAGGAGACCACAAACTTTAGCGGTCTTCCCTTCCGAGATCAGAAAACGCTTATGAGAAGAACCAACTACTGACGTCACGTCGATCATTTCCTACGGCTATAAAATTAGCTTGAATTCAATTTAAAAATGGTTATAAATGTTGAAAAGATTCGCAACGGAAAAATATAGTTCAAATTAATGTCGTGTTCAAAGTAATCTCCGCGAAATGCAAAATTGCTTCTGACTCTTTTAAATATAGTTATCTTTTTCTTTCTCTGACGGTCATTTTAAATTTCGCGAAATCACTTTGAACACGGCATAAGGCTCACTTCCAAGAAAACTTTTTTTGGACAGCTGTCTCTAAAGCGACTGTAGTAGGGAAGAAAAACAAATATACATATATACAGGTTTTTTCAGAAAACAAATAAAATAATTTGGAAAAAAAAAATGTTCGTGATAGATTTCCTTTTTTTAAAATTACCAAAATTTTTGCAGTACTAGTGGGTAGAATACTCTGAGAAAAAATCGTGCGAAAAATTATATTTGCAAAAAGAGAAACGTATAATCGCGCACAGTTCATTTCTTTAAAGCGAAACTACCGTATTTTCTCAATTCAATTAGTTAAATTTAGGAAACTATTCTTTTCTCGAAACTAGGATGAAACAAACCGCAATACGGAACTGTAAAAAAAAGGAAATTCAATACTTACATGGAAAATGAATGAAAACGAGAAATAATCCAATTGCTTCCGTCTACAAGCGAGAAAGAGCGTTCATTGAAGCCTCATAGTTGCTCCGAAACCGTAAATGTACTTTTTGAGCATTTTTTTACGTCCTGGAAAAAAATTCGTATTTTTTTTATGAACACGCCTTTAGAGAAGAAATTTGATTAAAATTTTTAACATCAACAAAAAAACTATTGGCGTGTTCATCGGAGAAACGAAGCTTCAAAACGAAAAAAATCGTTTTTCATCGGCGCGCCGAAGTTGCTCCAAAAACAGTACTAATTATTTTTTTAAGGCAATTTTTTTTACGTTTCGAAGCAATTTTCGTTTTTTTCTGATGGACACCTCATACATTCTTCTTGCTGAAGTTCAAACTAATTTGATAATATAATATACACGGCGTTCTTTTGACGACGCCCCTCCCACAATTTCCGTAATATTTGACGTCTTTTGTGCATACACAGAACGACGCTAACTCGCATACTCATTAAATTCAAAAATAATTTTTTTCCTCGAAAAATAGCGTTTTTTCAAAACTATTGCCGTGTTCAAAGTAATTTCCGCGAAATGCAAAATGGTCTCTGACCCTCCAAAATTTAGTTATCTTTCTCTTTCTCTGACAGCTATTTTGAATTTCGCGGAATTACTTTGAACACGGCATATAGACGTGGAAAAAATCGATCCTTTCACAATTCCTTTTCTAGTTGACAAAAAACATTTGGGTGAAAGTTTTTCTTATTCTCTGAACACTTTCATACCTTTCATCCTCAAAATTGGTTAAAGTCCTTTTTTTGAGTGAAAAACGTGGAGTTTTGTGCCAAAAATGACTTATTGTGGTTCTATGTGTCTTTCCCGACTTATTGAAAATTTAAAAAAAGTTTTCTTTACAGATTTAGTTTAGTTCATCCACCTAGTGGTATTTTTTCTCCTCTGCAACATCGCCATACCATTCTGATGTTGCGAAAATGAAGAGATTGATTGATTCGAATAAAAAATTTAATTTGACACTGAAAATGTTGCTGAAAGGCTTTTTGCTTTAAAGGGAAAATTTGGTCAAAACACAGCAGTTAATATTGAAAATTGAAAAAAAAAGTTCCTTCGCATTTTGCTGTCGCAATAAAAAATAATTACCGTAAATCAGTACAAAACAGATAAAGATACAGCTGAAATAAACATGAAAAATCACGTGAAGCACTTGAGCAACAAGAAATTCAAATGTTCGCGCGCAAGCTGTCTACCGTAAATCTAGGTGGAGCAACCCTTCCAAGCCGCTCCACATTTTCAAAAATTTTACATTTTCTTCCACTACGCAGAACGCCGTGTATATTAAATTAATTTACAAAATATGAATGTGCGCGTAAAGCATAATGCATAGTCGTTTGCACCAACCACTGTACTTTTTTACCTACAGTGGGGAGAAATTAAATGACGCGTTTTCGTACGTATGTAAGTGTACACGTGTACATTTTGTACTGGTGTTCACTTTACAGAGGAAGAGGGTTGAGAAATTATTTCAATTACCATAGGGTATAGGCTATAGCTCACGAAGCTGATTTTTGCGCTGAAAATTAAAACTGTATTTCTAAGAACTCTCAAGAAATAGTTGAAATGAAGTGATTATGAGACGAAAGCAGCGGAAGTCAAATATAGAAAGACGCAATTGGAACTACAGGTGCGAAAACGCCGAAACAAACTATATTAGTGAGTAGCGTAATTTCCTTTTTCGGATTGGGACTTTCGTCATTGTCAATTTGGGCCGAGTTGAGCTTTATGGTCTTATTAGAAAAAGCGAAACTGCGATGTTCAGAATTTTTCTTTTAACTTCAACACTCCCAAAAGACTTTCGTCTAAAACAGTCGAAGCTAAAAAGGGAAAGCAATAAACGGCCGGATGGAACTTTTTCTCGTCAAATTAACTTGACGTCTCACGCAACACCGAC